GACTTGGCTATGGAATATTTAGCCAAGTCTGTACACGAACCAAACATATTAAACTTTTTAAAATATTAAGATTTTATATTTTTTAGATTCGATAATCTGGTAGTAAGCCAAGGTGGCTTTGAAAAAGTAGTCGAAGGAATTGACTTGGGAATACACATATCTAAGAGGGAGTTTAGGGTGTTATAAAAAAAGTTAATAGCAGTATTCATGCCAACCGAGTCATATAAGAAAGACCAATCGGTTGAATAAATAAGTTGATTCAGTAATGTAAAGTAGGATGATATACATCCTCAGAAAGAGATAAAGGAGGGGACCTAGACACATTAGAAATAAGGTAGTCGTTAACAAATACAAGATCAAGTGTTCTATTCAAATGATTAGAAATTGAATTGATTTGAAACAACGAAAGGTCAAGCATGCAATCTATAAAGTCATGCTGTGCTGAGGGCACTAGATAATTTTCGGCAGTGAAAAGTGACCAAGAGATGTTCGGCAAATTAAAATCACCCAACACAATAAAAAGGTCATTATCACGCACGTGTGAAGAAACTTCTTTAATACAAGAAATATGTTTCATATAAACTTGAATATCAGAAGTAGGAGGAACATAAGAGCATGTAATATAAATATTCCGTGTACGACACCTTGACTGAGACAATCTCAGCGTCACAAAGCGTACTAAAACAGAAAAGTTCTGACTGGAGAGTGGCTTTAACGGCAATTAATACCCCACCACCTCGAGTCGACCGATCATTTCTATGCAAAATAAAATTATTCGAAAAAGCCTCAAAATCAGATATGGTTGAATTTAACCATGTTTCTGAAAATGTGATTATATCCGAATCGAAGGAAGTGCTGGCCATGAAAAGATTTTAAAGTTTTGAAATGAGACCTTTGAAATTCTGATAATGAATTAAGACTTGGTCAGAAGAAGAAGTTAGTTTTTTGGGAAAGAAATTGTACCCTGTATTGAAGGGACTGGAAGGGTGACAGGCTGGTTACGTTTTTTTGGCTTGAATTCGGGAACAATCATGTGTGGAGGCCAAAATTTGGGATCACAAATGATTGGAAACATATCTTTTTGAATAATGATATTTCACGAGGAGTGGAGAAATTAAATTTGGTAATTGACACGCTAGCAAAAGATTTGCTTTTGATTGTTTTTAACAATCTGGGCAAGATTGCGCGCAGGTCTACCTTTGCAACCAGGAGCTGAGGGGGCTGAGGCAGTTTGGCTAACTGGGACAGGTTCAGGTACGGGGACTAATGGGACTATTACAGGGGATAAAATAGGGGTAATATTTGGGCAGTCGCTCGGAGAAGGCGATAATGACAACATTGGAGATAAATCCAAGTTGCTAGGCAGGGACAACAGAGGCATAGGTGTCTGGACAGACGGAGAGGGTAACTGCAAAAAATGAGGCTCCAACCGGCGATTGGTTGGAGACTCGAATTTGTATTTGCTAAGCAACTCACAACTCGAGTCAACACTACTCGAGAGCTGCTTAGCCACGTTATTTAGTTTTAAGAATTGATTCCTCACAGAATTATACATTCTGGAGAAATCAATTTGCTTGTCGATGCATTGTGGGCACGACCAACGCAAGCCGCCGCAGCCCTTCTTGGCAATTGCAGCGATCTTGTCGCAATCACGCCCAGTGAGACCTGCACATTTAGCATGCATTATATTCTCACACAGCCAGCAATTAACAAATGTTGGCAATGCAGAATCATCAGCCTGCTTCAACGTGCAAGGTTTCTTACAGCACGACATAATTACTACCAGAGATAAGCAGAAGTTGCGAGAGCGCAGACCATAACGAAACACGGTGCACAAAAATAGAGCAAGTAAAAGCTCAAAAAATAACTATTTGTATACAAACAAATTGTTTGGAGCGAAAAGCAACAGCAAAAATTTGCGAGAGCGCGATGCACAAGCAGAAATATGCAGCAGCGAACACACGCACAAACAAGTGTATGCACAGGGAAGCACCAAAGCAAAAGAATCAAAACAGGCAATAACAACAATACGTAACTGACGCCGTGTTTAATAAATGCAATAATTAACAGACTTACGTTGCACAACAGATAACACTTTGCACAAGTTATAAAAGCTTTTTAAATAAAGCACAAAAAATGAAAAATTTAGAAATAAAAAGCAGGATTTAAGCGAAAAAATATATAAAAATCTTGGAGCACAAGTAAAAAACGTCAATCACTCTCAACTGAGAGCTCTCTCTTGATAGTTAGCCGCACGAGCGTGTCAACAGTTCCAGTAAACTTAAACTTAAATTCCACTCTCATGTTACGACCGTGGTGAGTCAAGCGATGGTCAAGGGGGTTTGACGATCCGTACACGACAGAGACCCCTTATATATCTCTGGTACGACCTATTAGAGTATGCTTCATGTGTCTGGTCCCTACAATATTCTATTCACCAAGACAGGATTGAATCTGTACAGAAGTCATTCCTGATTTTTGCCCTGCGTTGTTTTAATTGCGATCCTCGGTTACCGCCATACCCCAGTAGAGTTCTGACAATTAATTTTCCTTCTTAATTAATCGTAGAACTAAGATTGATGTAATATTTATTCATAAGTTAATTAGGGGTGAAATCGACTCTTCTGGGTTGACTAGCCAATTAAATTTCACTGTCCCTACTAGACTAACACGTAATTATACACCCTTATCGCTTCAAGTATTTTCAACTACTTAGCTATGCCGTACTGAACCGTTCAGAGTCCTCTGTGATAATTATAACAAACTTTGTAAAATATTCTGGTCGGAGTCTTCTCTTCGTCTTTTACAGTCATCGAATCTAAACTATTTAGCAAGTAGATAGTCTTAGTTTGTATTTGCGTTTGTACTTCGCGACTCGCGTCGTACGTTACACGAATACGCCCCTCGGTTGGATGGGTTGGAGGTGGGATGCAGCACATTGCATCGGTATTCGCGGGAAATTTTTCAACCCCATAAGTTATATATATTCTTGATCAGCATCAATAGCCGAGTCGATCTAGCCGTGTCCGCTTGACTGTCTATGTATAAACGCAAGGATCTCAGAACCTATAAGAGCTAGAGTTGAAATTTTGAAAGTAGGCCCTTCTAGTGCCCGCGCAGTATGAGTTTTTTTCGGTAATCCATAACACGCCCCGTTTCCAAGTAATCGATAAGTATCGATATCGAATTCCTTTTTTTTTTTGAGCAACTCTCTTAGGTTTTAAGAGCTAGGTCAGCAAATTTGACATGTAGCCTCTAGAATAGTATATTTACAATACAATATTTACAATTAACAATCTTATATTTTATAGCCTCGTAGCAATAAATCAAATATGTAAACCAATTGGAAATACCTAATAACTTAATCCAAAATTTTAATGCAATTTCCTTTTTTAGAATATACTAATAGATTTAATGTTACTAGATTTAATGTTGAATTTAATCAAAAGCAGTTCAGAAACGCAAAAGTTAATAAACATAACTTGTTCTTATATTGACATGTGTTTGCGGCATCTAGCGCAAATTGCAAAAATTTCATACACATTCATATGCGATTATATTGTTTTCTGTGCTTTGTGTATATTGAGAATGAATTGTGGGTATGGCTGTCGAGTGGAGGCGGTGGCAAGCAGTGTGGTCGCCATGGGATAGAGTCCAATTGGGAGGGACCTTATTTTATTAATTTTATGTATTACTGATAAAGCAAACGAGCTCATAGCGCGAGCAACATTTTGTGCAGAAGAGGGTTCAGGGTATCCCCTAGTGGAGAACTTCTGACTAGAATACTCTTGTTTTTTTATTTTTATACATTTTGTATCAAAACATATTGGATTTTGCATTTATACTTTCTTTGTAGAACTTCTTCGAGTTAGCTTTTGCGTTACCAAAGTATACGTATGTTAATTTCTGTACGAAGACATTCTGGAAATCTATTTATTTCGCAGTAGCATCCAACTTATATCTTCTATACACCTCTCAGCGCCATAAACTTAGTTGTAGCTCACATTAATTATTATGTTTTTCTCTTATTTGTCGTATATCTGACTGATTGGTGATCAACGCACAGCCAAAACCGTAAGAGCTAGGAAGTTGAAATTTTCACTGCAGTTACCTTATGTGACGAAGGTGCACGTTAAGACGGGGTTTCGGGAAATTCCAACCGCAAGTATGGAAAAATCGCGAAAAACGTTCGTATGCAACTTTTTTGTTTACCATCCGATCGACCTCAAACTCATTTTCAAAAATCTTTGTTTAAATTCATTTGAGGGGTGTTTCGCACTTTTTGGAAAATCCTTCCCTCCTGGATGGGGGAAAGATTTGGTGGGTGACGTTTCGCAATCAAATTCATTTTCAAGGATCTACACAAAAAATCATTTGAGACGGGTTTCGCATTTTTTGCAAAATTCGGACTCTTTCGGTGGAAAGTGCACCTCTTGGTGAAAATGCGGCTCAAAAATTTGGTGGGTGACGTTTAGCCCTCAAATTCATTTCCAAAGATCTATATGAAAATTCCTTTGAGACGTGTTTTTTACTTTTCGCAGAATCCAAACTCCTTCGGTATTAATTCGATTCAAAGATTCGTTGGGTGTAGTTTTAAGTTTTGTCCGATTTGCTTCAGACTTATTTTCAAAGCTCTACATAAAAACTTAATGCATGCGTGCTTTAGCGATTTGGGAAATTCCACCCGAAACAAAGGTAAATTGGCGGAAAACGGGTGTATAACAATTTTTTGGTTACCATCCTATCGGCTAAAAAAATATTTGCAAAGCTTTTTTAAAAACATTTTTTTTACACGAGCCACGTTAAAATTTTCATAATAATATCACATTCATCCTTCTACTACAGAAATTTGCCGAAAACAATTATACCCTTCTTACCCAATTTCAATGGGTTCACGGTATACAAAGTAATTTTAGTTTCCATGAAGGGGACAAAACAAATCCAAATATAAAGAAACGATTAGCCAAAATATACTTTTTCATTTTGAATTTCACACTTACCTGTATATAGAACGATTCATCTGGTTTGATTGTAGACAGCAGATTTATAGCTTCGCTAACATTACATTTTTCAAGCATAAGTTGAGATTGAGCAATAACTAAACGGCCTCTTTCAGTAGTGCTGCTAAATTCTTCAAGGGCAGTCTGCAAAATACGTTCGCTTTCGTAAATTCCATGTGCATCACCCATCTCGCGAAGAACATAAATTAACTCTATGTATATAGTCATTTTATGAGAACTATATATGTTATTATCGGTTTGCGTATTATAAATCTGCTGGACACCTTTTGACATTTCTCCAAATAATTGCAACGCAAACAGAAAACTCTGATACGCTTCTGATAGCTTCTGTTGATGCTTAAGTATTATACCCTTTAGCAAATGGTACATAGGCCGTTCACGGACTGTAAATTCCTGTGATAAAGACAGTTCTAGATACTCCAACGCTTTCAAGTACTTCCTTTTTTCCACTAGTATTTGAGCCAATAATATATGAGCTTCAGTGAATGTATCTCCAAATAAATTAAGAATGCCCTGCAAACGGCTTATGGCTTGGGAATGTTGACCACAAAGAAATTCAACCTTTGCTCGCAAAAACAAGGCCTGCAAAATAATAAAAAAAATGTATGTGTAATTCAGATTAATTCAATACATATTTACTTCTTTATGTCCGGGACATATATGTAGTATGGTTTCCAATATGTTAAGACTGTGCTTGAGGGTAATATGCAATGATTCCTGACCCAAATCCAAGTCATAGCGTGATTCTTTTATTGGAGCTGGAGTGTGTCGAATCAGCTCCCTACATATCTCAAGCATAAAATCAGGATTCATGGAGCATACATATTCAAAACCAAAAGGAAGATTATTTAATTTTTGACAATGTAGCTCAGCCGCTTCTGCCAACAAGTTCACTGATGACGTCTTCTGCTCCTTGGGATCAGCCAACAAAGCGGACATATAAAAAACCATTGGATTAGGTTTAAGGTCAGTAAGCTTCATGAGGTAGGATAACTGTTGTTGTATTTGTTGCCTACTCTCAAAATCTGTAGGAGATTTCAATTTACACAACGTTAGGCCACAAAGCGCATTAAAGTTGTTGCTATCAACATTACAGGCCAAACGAAATGCACGTTCTGCATCGGAAATATTGTCTAGTAATAATTTCTGATAGCCTAATTCAGCTAAAAGGTTCACATTACCAGGATTCAATTCATTGACCTTTTCAATACATCGCAGGGTCAATCCCAGTAGTTCAGTATTTCTTGAACAGATGCGAGAAAATAGTTGGCATATTTTAACAAGAAGTATAACATTACCGGGCTCAGCATACTCTACAGAAATTAGCAGTTGTTGAAGTGTAGCCATCCCAGCTTTGAAATTGCTTTCTCGCACGATATTCAACATGCCCTTATTGCGCAGAGCTGCCACATTAAAAGACTCAATATTGATCACTTTAATGGCAGTTTCCAGCGAGTTATCCCAGTCTAGTGCAGCAAGATGCGTTTCCATTTTCTCAATAAGAAGTATACTTGTGTCGGGAACTCGTATGCTAAGCTTATTGATTAATAAAAGGGCCTCTTCAAATTGTCGTCGCTTTTGAAAATATCGCACAAGTGCTAATGATGCATCAATACTCTTTCCATTGCTTCGGGAAATACACCCTTCGAGCAAGCTGTGCAATTTCCGATTTGTAGAGAGATCCATACACGAAGATAGCTCGCACCAAATTTTCAGGACAAGAGCTGCATCAGAAATGGCATCATTTTTCATAGACCTGCCGATGTAATCTAAGGCCACATCAAACTTGCCAACTAAGTATAAGAAGGCAGCTGTATAATAACATGAAGAAGTGCTAACGGTTTTGTTTTCGTCAACTATTCGACGTTCAAGTGCTTGTATTGCTTCCACATTTATTAAGTGGCAATGTTTGTGAGCGTAGATAAGTGCCATTTTGGCTGCCAAGCCCAATTCCAATTCATTTTTTAATGGGTTCAATTCACGGATACACTCCTGCATTCGATTTCCCAAGGCAAGCGCAATACCATTGAACAATCTAAAGTCTGATTGCATGGGAAACTTGGTTAATCCGTCTAATGCCGTTTTCTGCATTGAGTTATAAAACCGCATTCTTCCATAGTACAGTACTAAGCTTTTATAGTCATTAGAGTCCATAATGATAATATTCAAATTTATTAATAAATTACACAGTTAATACAAGATATATTTTAAGTAACGTGGTTCATATTGTTCAATATAGAATTGCACAAAACTGCATGATATTTTGAGAATTAAGTCATGTTGTACCGCATATTCCAAAGCTACCTGAAAAGAGACAAATTATACATACAATAACTTTACCGCAAACATACATATGTATGTGTAAACAAATGTAGTCATAACTTAAATTTATTTACATACTAATCACATTTCTAGTGCTATATTTTCATTTTTATATTTTTTTAGATTGAACTTATGTTAATATGTATTTCACAAAGAACCATCCGGACTACTAAATTTGACTGGGTGACTTTCTTCAATATACTATAGCATTTTTTATATATGTGTGTACGGTTTAGTTTGTTGAATAGCAACCAGATTGCATAGCAACGGTTTATGAAATGAAGCGAGGTGGTATACAAATACCTTAGCCAATAACTTGCCCAGACCGTGTCCGCCCAATTTTTTAGGAACCTTTGTTTGCTTTATTTCCATAACTCCATCTTTAATAGTGTATTTCAAATCAGCAACTTTATCGTTCATTTCTATAAAAAATCTATTTTCTTCGTGCATTATTTTAATAATTGTACCCATGCACCTACAATGGATACGCAGTCTGGATGTTTGAAATGTTTCTGTTTTTTTTAAAGATGTGAAACTTTGAGTTCTATGAAGCAGCTGTAATTGTGAATATACAACCCGATTTGCTTTTGGCAAGGAAATGGTGGAAATATTTTTAATGCTGCTGCACATAACTCTTGAAACGGAAAACATATTATCTAAAGTAGGAAAATGAGAAAAATTAATTATTCATTTAATAAAAGTTTATAATTAAAAACTAATACTTAACACAAGTACCAAGGCCCTCACAAGTTTTATAATTTTCCTCCGAGTTGATAGTCCTAAGCAATTCAATTTGGGATGGAGATGGATATTAAAGATGAGAAATTTTTAATTAGCCCATTTCAAGTATCAAGTATTAAAAAGTAACTAGATACTGATGATACCACTTCCAAGAGTACTTGTAATTAGGGATGATCGATAGTGTTATTTCTGTGTCACAGTGACAACTGTGACAGTTACAAAAAAATACCAGCTACAAATAACAGCGACTGTTACTCGACTTCTAGGCGCACCGTTTTTTATAAAAAAATATATATAAGAAAAAACCAAATAAAATGTTATAATGTTATGCTCTATAACAATTTTTTTTTTTATATTTGATTTAAATATTATTATTATATATGAAGTTTAAAAAGGTTTTCGTTGGCATTTAGGAAAATCAGCATTTGGACCTTATCGTCACTTAATCGTGTTGTACGATCTGACAATAAAAGGCCAGCTTGAGAAAAAAGGCGCTATCATGGTTTTTGTAGGTTCAAGTTCAAAATAACAGCCAATTACACATCAGTTTCATAGTTATTAGCTTTGCAGCCAGTACGAAAGGAACAACCTAAGTACAGGCACTAACCAAAAAACATATAGATAGGACAACCAGTGAAAAAATGTTGGTCACCAAAAATTGGTTTGCATCTGGTCCAACGAGCGAGTAAGATATACATATGACATCTTTTGATCGCTCACACTACTTTGGCTTACTCTCTTCCATATGATTTGTGCGATAGAACGGCATCGCTGTTTATTTTTATCTCGCTCGCACTTACTCTCAGTGCTCTCAATGCTCTCTTTATGTCTAGGTACCGTTTAAATGTTTGTGTGTGCATGTGGCCGCACAAGCAAAAATGCCCACAAATTCAATTTTTCTCAAAAGTCGGTGGCATTTCTTCCCTTTTGAGGGGACGAGCAATATGAAATAATGAAAGGGTTTGCCAAGTCGATGCGAAATTCTTTCATTTTAGCTCGGTATTGCTGGAAAGGGTACCTAAGCGTTGGCAGGTGTGCATTTAAAAGTTTTTGGACTTGCTATTCACGCATACTTGCATATTTTGTATATGAATAGAAGCATTTATGCGCATGTGTGCCTGTTGGTCCCTGCCTGCCTGTCCGATCCAAATTTGACAATATTTTGTGATTTCTGAATTTCGAGCTCTGCGCACACACACACACAGACAAATGTGTGTGAATGGGCAGATCATGGGCGCAAAAGAAAATATCATTTTTGGCCCGCGGTTGTCGCGCACCCTTCTTTTTATGATTTTGGGTTTGAATCGATGAATGAACGTTGACCCCTCATTACCTGCAGTTCCAATTCATATATGAAAAAGCTAAATATTTAAAGACAATAAAATTATGAATACTATAAATATATAATTGACCCTATTTTGTATGTGGTATATTTGAATATCTTAAAGATTTTATTTTTTACACAATTTTCCTAAAACTAGTTAAGTGATCAGTCACTTGACCTACATATGCAGGTACAGGTGCTTGGCAAAATATTAACCTTTCCACCCAACGGGCTGATGCAGGGGCACATAAACACCTAACCAAATAAAAAAGGTATATGTTTGTTAATAATTAAGTCTCATTATATACGCTTTTCGTGGCCTTGTGTGTTAATTTCGTACTATCAATATACAAATTTTGATTTTTTTTAGGAACCTATTCATTGGGTTTAAGGAAGCCATTCAAGATTTATTTATTTATTTATTTATTTATTTATTAGTGGTCGACAAAACGAGTGTCTTCCTAATTATTCAATACATTATATTTACAATTATGAAATTTAGATGCTAAAAGCCTAGATAGAGAACACAAATTTCAAATAGCATCACCGACCGATGGAGGTGTTTTATTTGCCAGTCCGGCCAGCTGTGCCCCTTTTCACAGCTAATTTTGTCAGTGACGCTATTAGAGCCTACATCTAAGAAGAAGGGTGT